CGGAAAAGTGTCATCTTTACGACATAAAGCCACCAGACTCTTATCACAACCCACCATACCTGGAGCGCATCGGTTGTCAAGCCTACCATTTTCGATATTGGAATTTTCTCCGAAGAAATAATATTTTTTAAATGAGAAAACAACTTCTGTCCAGTAGTGTGTCCTTTCAGTGGAATAAACTTTAAAAGATCTTCTTTAATCGTAAAATCACTAAAAACCATCCTGACGAACACGACCATCTGGGCAGTGTCAACGACATCTGTTGATTCATCCAGTTGAAGTGAAAAATAAACACAGTTATCTAAGTCAGTTCTTAACTGTAAAAAAATATCATTGCTCATTACTTCTACACGTCTCATCACTCTATTAGCAGAAAGTTGCATAGATTTTATAGCTGAAACTATCTCGTCTTTATTTCTAAAGTTGGCAAATAACGAATCAGCAGCTTCTAAAAACGCCTGTTTTATCATTTCCCCGTCTTCATAAGGTTTCTTTTTTTGTGCAATTATCTGGGACACACGGTACGATGCTTCAGTTGCAGCCTTATTTTTGTCGACTGTTCTTAAAAATATTGATTGTTGTCCAATTAACTGCTTTTTTAACTGTTTCAGTTTCTCCTTTCTGGCGACAGAATGTAGTCGTGTGAATGATTTTTCAAAATTAGAATGTACAGTTTTATGACGTCTCTCAATATTTCCTTTTTTAGCAACGGAGACCGAAGTATTACATAACAAACACACATTTTTATCTTTAACTTCTGTAAAAAAGTATTGTTCTTCCCATTCCGAATGAAAGTGGTATGTCTTTACCTTCTTACAACTGCTTGCCGTAATATAATTTTTTGTTGTTTTCTACTAACCCAACCGCTGGACGTTGGTTACGCGTTCAGTTTTAAACTAAGCGCAATGTCGCCGCGCCGTGCGTATTTATCCCGTTCAAAGCAATCCTGATCGTTCTCGAACACTAACGCGCTGGTCCGGCTGGTCGGTTCTAGCCGATTCTAGCTTGATGGCGTCAGCGGCAGATCGCTCACCGCAACGTTGCCGCTGTTTATGTTTAATATTATGACAATTAGATTTTTTTGTGGAATTTTCGGAAGCTTCTCTGATTTCTGCAGTTTGTATTTTTTAAATTAAAATCGTTGTGAGAGCTACCAGAATTGCCTCCGCGAGCTACCGGTAGCTCGCGATCGACAGGTTGGCAACCACTGTTTTAGAGTGATGATTATGATTTTTAAAAATTAGAACTAGACGGTTTCGTCTAATTTGTTCAGCGATCTGTCTGACCATACCAGTCAACTTGACCGTTGACGTAACCAATAGAAATAGGCGCTTTATTATGACGCGGTAAATGGCGCAAAAATAAAGTGTTTTAAATAAATAATTTAAAAGTGAACTTTTTAAAGTACTATAACTTTATTATTTATTATCTATTTAAAGAATGTATTGCATGAAAAAAAAGTTAATAGTATTAGTTTCGTTGAATTCGTTTACACTAAACACGCCCATTGTAAATAACTCAAAAAATATTTTGTAAAGTACCTACATACCAAAATAATACTTAGCAATACATATTCAAAAAAATATATTTTTAAATGATGATTTTATTTGTTTCGTAAACAGAGCTGTTTAAAATCATTTTAAATACGATTTAAATCAAAGATCATAAATCCTTTGCATTTGAACAAATGAATTAAATCAAAGATCGATTTTTTACAAAGAAAGATTTAAATCAAAAATCTTTTTTAAATTTAAATCTGTTTTACAATTTAAATCATTTTAGGAAAGATTTAAATCTTTTCGAAAGATTTAAATCTTTTCGAAAGATTTAAATCTTTTCGAAATATCTAAATCTTTTAAAACGAAATAAATATTTTCAAAAGATTTAAATCTTTTTATAGAGTTGGGTAACTCTTTAAAAAATGATTTCGGTGGCCTATGAGCCACAGAACCAGAGATAATAAATACTTAAGTAATGTGATTTTCTCATAAATAAAACACAAAAATCGATCAACTTTTCTCGTATTTATTTTTTATCATTATTAGCCCAATGCAATTCTTACGGAAATATTGATTTTAAATAATAAATATTTGATCAAGAAACAATTTTTAAGGATTTATGCAGCATTGATATCTATAGTTATGGAAATTGTTATTTAAAAATGTCATATCGATTGATAAATAGGAATTTTTCAACCCTTTAAAAGATACTTTCGGCATGCCTATGATGCCACAAAAGAATGGAGACCCAATTTTTAAGAAGTGATTTTTTTTTTCTGAAAAATCACTCAAATCCGTCCACTCTTCCTTGAGTTAACGTGCTTAAAGTCATACATACATAAACACCCACATAGATGCATATACATCAGATTTAAAAATGTTTTTTTTTCTCCTGGTCTCGTCTATGTCTTCAAATAACACTGAAGCCTATTGGCTTATTGCGTTTTACCCCATGTTAGTTCATAGCTCCCACTCTGTCACCTTTGTACCTTGTACAAGTTTGTACAGATCCTTGGGTGAGTGGGTTTTATACGTTGTTGGATCAACCTGGGGTCGTCCAAAAAGAGCCTGTCTTTTGCGATCTAGAATTCCCCATTGTACATGCCAATTTTGTTCAAGTGCCCAGTCATGATCCCTGTTTTCAACTGGTTCCTATTCATAAAGAGTTCATAAAGAGTTCCAGTTCTTTTAGGACATGGTCTGCCTATGAAGGCCTTTCCATGTGCCTGTTTTGGGGTGCTTCCCCACTAGTTGATGTGTTGTTCCCGAATTCAGTCGTTTATGAAACCCCGGACTGTACTTTTTGGTACCTCTGGGTTTGTGTCTGGTTCCGGTGTTTCTTCTGGCCCTCTTTTTGCAAGTTCGTCAGCCTTTTCATTGCCTTCGATCCCTTGGTGACCTGGCACCCAAAATAGTTTTACTATATTTCGGTCTGCCAGTGTTCTTAGTTCTTCGATGCATTCCCATACCAGCCTCGACGTAACTTTCTGACTTGATATGGCCTTAAGTGCCGCTTGGCTGTCTGAAATTATTTGAATATGCTAATTTTCGATGGCACTTTCATTGTTCGTTTTTGTACATTGCAAAATTGCGTATTCCTCGGCCTGAAATACCGAGGAATGTATTCCTATAGCATAGCTTTGGTCAGTATCAGGGTTTTTGTAGAATACTCCCGCCCCAGTGCCTTCCGCAGTCTTAGAGCCGTATGTATACCAGGTTTGTTCCTGTCGTTGGGCATTGGGTTCCCTTATGGTGATCTCCACTCTTTCCTGTATTAAAACCTCAAATGGAGTATTAAAAGAGTACCTCATGGTTATGTGGTCTGATCTCATGTCTAGCACGTCTCCTTGAGATACTCATGTGACCTGGCCTAATGTCAAGATTTTCCAGTGTATTCTCTAATCTAAAAGCACCTAATCTTGCCTTCCCTTGTATCACATAGTGAAGAGGTGGCAGTCCTATTAGTGCTTCCATTGCAGCAGTTGGGGTTGTTTTCATTGCCCCCGTTATTCTGAGGCAGGCAAGTCTTTGTACCTTGCTTAGCCTCGTTATTGCTTTTTTGTACTTAGGAGACTTTCTTGGAATTCCGGGATTCCCCCGGAAAAATGCATTTCATTTTCAAAGTCTCCCGGCTTCAGCAATGTACCTAAAATCTCCCGGATCTTTAAACTATGAATAATGAAATTGAGTGGGTTGAATTAAAAGAGTTCTTCTCTCAACATGTCTATAAATGCATGAGGATAAACTGTATGATAATAATTAAAGTAGAAGTACGTGAAGTTATTGCGAGCAAATAAATAGCCAAAGTGGGCGCGTTTGGGTTAATTTTTTAAAAAAATGTGTGGATGAATCAGGCAAAGAAATAAAAAATTTAATTCGCTCTACCTATGCCGAGCGTGTTTGTTGAACTGGTCAAAAAGTCATAATCGTCTTAATGCAACTCATGTCAACTCTGAAATAAAAGTGTGCATAAATTTAAAATACATGTGTACCTAAAGAGTTTTATGATTGTATCGATAATGAAAAAGTATTTCCAGCTGCTTACGGTGTAAAAAATACAACTTTACAAAAAAATATCGGGTCAAAAATATTGTAAAATTTCATACTTAAGAATAATCTTTAGTTATTGCACTTATTTGTTACACTTTACTATTTTTTGTTTTTCTTTTCTCCACGATTGCTGATTCACAGAGTTGGCAACCCTACTGACATGCTGGCTAGATTATTATTTAGGAATGGACAGGTTGATAACGATTTTGACGAAACAGGCAATTTCAGTCCCCTTCTCGTCTCTTGAGTGTTTTTATAGATATAAATATTTTTACGGATTTAATTCATTTTGAAAAGTTTTAAATCGTTTTAAAAATATTTAAATCGTTTTAAAAATATTTAAATCTTATTTTTAAATAAAAAATCAAAAATACTTTTGAGAAAGATTTAAATCATAAATCAAAAATCATTTTTTTAAAAAAGATTTAAAGTTAAAGTATTTAAATCAAAAAATGTATTTAAATTAAAAAATGATTTAAATCTCACTGAAAGGTGACAGCTCTGTCCGTAAATAATGATATAGGCAGCTGACACCTGAAATTTCCCGATCTGACAGATTTATTACTCCGTGTCGATTGCGATTCTACTATAATGGAATTTTACTCGGAATTTTATAGTAAAAACCTACTGAAACATTTAAATTTTCCATATCATTTAAATAATTCTCATTTTGGGTCATTTACTATTTTAGAAGAATTAACTTTTTGGAGACATTCTGTCAAGTGCGGTTCCGAGGGATCATGCCTCCCTTTGAGTCTTTTATTTAAAAAAAAATGCTCAAAAATAAATAGCTAACGGCAATCCCCCCCCTCCCTATGAAAATTCGTCCTGGAGCCGCCCTTGAATCCTGTAAAAGAGTTTGTACGACAGACGCTTCTTTTACGTTGTATTATTACTTCACAAATATCACAACTTATTTAAAATGAGCTTTTTAATTTTATTGTTTTCCAGCAAACATCAGCCTCGTCTCAATGGGCATGCATTTCGGTTGGCCATCTTCATCCATCCCCATTTTGATGAACGAAAACTTTATCCATCAATTCACAATGATAGAAACATCCGTGCTGGTATCATTGATTCCTCTAGGAGCCATACCGGGATCACTACTAGGTGAAATAATCTCAGACTTGACAGGAAGGAGAAATTTGATAGTAATCAGCACAATACCCTTGGTCGTATCTTGGTTGCTTCTCGCTTTTGGAACTTTAAAATATTTTTATTTCGTAGCTAGGTTTTTAGCTGGTATAGCGGATGGATTGCTGTATACAATAATACCAGCGTACACAGCTGAGATATCAGATCCAGAAATTAGAGGAATGCTGGGATCATTGTTACAAATGTTTATGAACTTTGGAATGCTGTTTATCAACGTATTGTATTTTATATTGAACGATTCTTTAACTACAGTTGCTTATGTCGGTGCTGGATTAAGCATTACAACTCTTTTTATAGTTCCACTAATGCCAGAAAGTCCTTATGTTCATATTCAAAATAGAAATATGACCGCAGCTGAAGACTGTTTAAAAAGACTTAAAGGAAAATCCGATATTTCTATCGAAATGAAGAGGATATGCGAAGGAATGTTTATAGAAAAAAAAGATAACGATAAAGAGTCCTGTGTTATCCTAAGTCGATACAAAAAATGCCTTTTAATTTCTGTTGGAATGACTTTTGTTCAACACTTCAGCGGTATGATAGCTATACAATCGTATTGCGAAATACTATTCTCATTCCAAACATTCATATCTCCAAAACTAGCCAATATTCTCTATTTCGTCACATTCTTCTTATCGAATTTTGCTTTGTTGTTTTGGGTGGACTATTGCGGCCGAAAACCTTTATTATTATTCTCAATATCGATTTGCTGCCTAGCTTTATCTATACACGCATTGTATCTTTTATTAAAAGACCGTTTGGACCTAAATCAAAGCTCTTTGGACTCCGTAGAGCTGTTTGCGGTTTTGATCTTCACTTCGGCTTATAGTGCAGGACTCCAAACTTTACCGATTTTGATTACCAGCGAAATTTTTCCGACAAATTTGAAATCTACAGCGCAATGTATTGGTAATATTGGTTACAGTGTGTATAGTACTATGGTTGTCATTATGTTTAGCTTCTTTAGTGAAAATGATGCTTTATATGTACCGTTTTTTATTTTCGCATTGGTCTGTTTATTAGGAGTAATATTTGTTGTTAAATTTGTGCCGGAAACTAAACATAAGACTTTAGAGGAGATACAGTTAAGTTTGAAACAATTATAGAGTAGTATTTACAGTAGTATTAGTAAAGTGGTGCTGGGAAACAGTACAAATCGTACAAAGAACATCAAGAAAATATCATCATACGTGCTTGTTACCTAACGAAAATGTACAAATAATCAATAAATATATGTCCAATTCAGTCGTTATTGTTTGTTATTCTGTTCATTTGTATATAGTAGGACTTCTAGTCAATAATGGACAAAAAATATATCAATGGGTCTTCAACAACATTCTTATCCCACGTGAACTACAGAAACAAAAAAAATATGAAAATGATCCTTAGTTTAAAGTTTTTTTTTGACAACTTTCTATCAAATAATGTGGTCACATCTCATAGGTTCACGGAGCACCGCTGCCAAATTTAAGTTGTGCGTTAGAACTATTTTAGAAGGCACTTTAATTTTTTATTATTTTTTGACAATTTGTAATAACAGATTATAGTTTCTATTAAATCCCGTGCCAAAGGTTCAGTTAGACGAACATTTTTTGTGAATATTCGGTCACTAAAGTCAAAAAGATCCTCTTTTCCTAAAAAAATCTATTTGGTCGATTGGCATCTTCTTCCGCTTCAGCTAGATCATTCAAAATATGAATATAAATAAGAGCTTCGTCCAAATCCATTTTAATTAAAAAAAGTGACGTTTTGATAGCGCACGACAATGACAGTTCTCCCAATGTTCTCCCGAAATGATGCTTTTCTACTGGTTTTGACTAAGAGAAGTATGTTCTCTCGATTTTCATGCGGTGATCATTCACTTCGATTCAAGAATACCCACATACTTTGATTTTCTTTACTATACGGCGCAAGAGAGAGGTCCGACACGCCCAACATAGAGGAGCGGCTAAATCCTGACCGGCGTGCACATATTGTTTCTTATGTTTTTCGCTAGAGAGCGCGGTTTTTTAAATTAATGAATAATTTTGACATACAGTGCGTGAAAAAGTGTATTTTAAGTTATTATATTTTATTGTTGTTAATTCTGAGTTAGATATAAGTTAATTAATAATCCGAGAATTATGCATTTTATTGGTGGGAATAAATAAAATAACCAATAATAAGTATCAGTATTTTACTAATTTAGGAATTTTGACAAATAAAATCACTACAAATTTATTAGTATAATTTAAATAATAATATTGGGAATTGATAGTATAATATAAAAACACTTAAAATCATTATAGTCGATATATTAAAATATATAAGTAAAAATAATTATGATCCCAGACAGCACACCAAATCCTTTGGATATCTACTGAACATCCCAATATCCACTGAATGTCCAGTCCATGGTGGATATCTATTTTATATCCATGAAATGTAATTTATAGACATGCAAATGTCCATAAATAATTGTAATTATATAGCAAATTATTAAAAAATTACGCCATTGTACTCGCCATTGTGGCTAATAGTACCGTTGAGATATTTAAAATTAATTTTTTTTAAGGTGTATTCAATATCCCATGGACATCCACTATAAATATAAATATATCAAAGTCTAAGCGCGGACGCAAACCATCGTGGATATCTACTAGATGTAATTTTTGATTTTGCTTCCTAAGTATAGATGGCGATACCACTTTCGTATCTACTCATGCTTAACCCGCCGTAATTGAGTTTGATCGACATTGTTTCACAAACAGACTTCATTAGAGACTGAAGTCGAGAAGTTCCATTTATTGCTGAAGATTCCTAATAAGGATGATTTTCTCCTTAGTAGGCAAAATCAAAGGCAGATTGTTGGGAATATTTTTTACCTCTATTTTCTTTCGACGTTATTCAATAACCATTGGTTACTTATGAACCTCTACTAAAAATAATTATAAAATATTTATCTGAATTTCTATATCCTGGGATATAGACGGACATTTGGTTGGATATCCACAAAATATATTCTATGGATATATCTGGGATTTCTTGTATTGTCTGGAGATACTCATTAGATATTTTACTGAATATCCATAGGATATCTTCTATATTCTGGATATAGACGGACATTTGGATATCTATATTAGTTCCACGGAATATTTCTGATATCCTGTGGATATATTGGATATCCACAAAATATATTCTGTGGATATCTCTGCGATTTGGTGTGTTGTCTGGGATCATTGCCACTACTCTTACTAATAAAGAAACTTCTAAGAGTACTTCTAATAATTTTATTTTCATTTGTTTGATTTTTTGTAAATATTGCCCTTTTTGTTGAGGTGATCCACTTGTTTTTTATTACACTTTTCAAATATTTAAAAATTTACCCGAGAACATTTTCGTCAGAGGAATTTTCTAATTTGCCCTGTATATATTATTAAATTTAATTTTTTATTTAATTTTTTAATGTGCCTTAACTTGTTGCATCTGCTGAAATATTTTGTCCAAAATATTCTAAATGAATATTTACCTCAGACTTTATCTCCATTACATTTATTTGGTTCATAGTTACGGTCAGTTTGTTCAGAATTGTTATCTCTGGCATAATGTAGCAATACTAAATGAATATGTTTGCATATTTTATTTTGTCTTTTGACAAAAAATACAAGTCAACTTACATATCTCATTTGATAATTTTGAGACATATTGTTTCATTTTATTTTTTTAATCTGCTACAATATATGTCGAGGTTGAGGTTGTCTTTTTACTTAACTTAGAGAGAAAAGCGAGTCTATGGCGATTTATTATATTAGTTTTTTTTGTGGTTTTACCTTTTTTATTTGTTTTTGAATCAACAACTTTTCTTTTAAATTTCTAAACAGTATTCAATCTTTTATCCAATCTACTAACTCCTACCCCCTAAATGACTGTACTTTATTACTTTAGTCACAGCCTCTATATACATATATTATATATTTGTGTTATAATTCCAAAATCTTTATGGAAACATAAATCCCAATATTTATAATTATTTTCATAATATTGTTTAAAGTATTGTCCAAATTCTAATATGTTATTATCAGCACAAAACTCAATGGAAATCAAATGTAAATCAAATTCCCTTTGACTTTGTTCATATTGCAAATACTTTTAATTTCTTATATATGCCCAAACTCCTCTCAGAATATTTAATTTTGCAGAGATTATTTTGCCATGCCCGATGACCTTTACCATATAAATAATGTTTTGGTGATCCCATACCATTCAACCAGGCAATTATAAAAATGTTTATTGCACGTGTTGATAATACACGTCAACATTCAAGAACATTTAGGAAGGCTTATTCAACAATAAATTAATTTTTTTTTTTATTTATTCGACAATTATTGACACTATTAAGCAGTAGCTGCGCCCTCTCACGGAAAATAAAGTAAATAAACTGTGCACGTCGGTCAGCATTTAGCCGCTCCTAGTAATAGGGCCCGGCCATTTTGAACCCTATGCAACAGTTTATAGCTAAAGAATCAGATCGCTCACTCTGCGTCGGCACTTTTGATCTCAATGTTCCAGTTTATACACTGCGCAACTCGGATAATACAATATATAACAACCGCCTATAATAAAACAGCTGTCTTCTGCGTATCCTAAATTTGTATCCCTGGAGTGGATCTTATTTTGAAACTTTCAACTGGTCCGAGTGAGCTAACTGATTCTTTAGCAATAATCTGTGACTTCAAAAATAATATTCACTGACACTGACAGCAGCAAGCAAAATATCAGGTGCGTTTTAATCATCCGCTTCTGCTTCCGGAGTTGTCGGTTTAGTCGTTTTAACCTGTCAGATTAAAAGAAGAAAACCGACAATTCCGAAGCAGAAGCGGATGATTAAAACGCACCTATTAAAAATATTGCGCCAAGATGTAGGCAACACGTAATAAGGGTTCAAAACGGCGGAGTTTTCTATCTCCTTTTAAAAGGCACTCAGAAAACTGCGCAGTGCGACCATTCTCCGTATAGTAAAAGAAAATCAAAGTATGTGAGTTCATTGAATAGTCCTACTACTTATGCAACCCATCTGGCTCATTTTTTATGCACATATTTCAAAAGCTATCAGTTTTGTACGCCCGAAACGAAGGTCGGTGCCGAAACCCGAAAAGCGCTATTGGTTGGATGGAGTCTTCGTTCTATACGTTTTTTATACTTACAATTTTTTAATGTCATTCCATTCTTGTCAACGCTATTAGTTTTTATAGGTTAGTTTTTTGACTGATTGTTTTATATATTTTTAAAAACTAAAGATTACGTGCATTTTTACTGCTAACAAAATGCTGGAAGCTCAAGATATCCAAGCAGAACATAAAGATTTGATACATGATGTTGCTTACGATTATTATGGCCGGAGAATGGCTACATGTTCCAGTGATCAGTACGTAAAGGTAAGCATTTTTTTATTATAATAAAAAGTGAGCTCTTTTATGTTCAATACATAGAATTGCTTTAGTAATTTTGAAGAATATAATTGATTAACGCCTGATATTCGGCACCCGGGGGTCCGACTGCCGGACCCTAACACTATTGTTTGTATAGATAAATTCCTAATATACAAAAAATATAAATAAAGTAAAAAATATTAAATACCACGTTTGTTTATAATTACTAAAATTACCCATAAGTAAAATACAAACGATTTTAAATAATAATTTGGTGTCTTTACTTTGTATTAAATGGTTTAGTAGATTCGTTTTAAATAAATAAGACATGTGGAACATTTTACATTTTCAGGTAGACTATTATAATTAATGTTTTAGTAATGTTTTCCCTTGATTATTTAGATAGGTACAAATTATTTCTTATTCTAGTATTATACTGATGAATTTGATTATTAAGAATTACAAATTTGTTAAAATTTGATGGTAAACGTACCATCGTTAAATAGTACATAACCATCTCAAAATAATTCTCATTACACGATTCTGTGGTTTCTGTAGGAATGTCATTTTATTAATCAAATATGTACAACAGAGTAGGACAATATTTGAAATATGGTTGTATAATAGTTTACACCATTAAAATAATCGGTTCTTAAAATATTTAGAAAAAATACTTTATTTGATAAAGGAATACAAATATGTACTAGTAAAACGTTATTTTAATTTTTGGCCGAATGATATGAAAACAATAATCTTTTTTGCAAACCCCATACTCATACTTGGATCTTGCACATTACTGAGCTGTGATCCATCCATGCAGAGGGTTTTGGTTCTAATATAGCAAATGCTGCATCTAATGGCTTTTTTCTGTAGATCTCAAACTATGTTCTTCAAGTCAGGTCAAGTCAAAATTAATTTATTGTTGAAGAATTAATTACATTCTTATTAACAAAGATAGATAACATAATAGTATAAGAAAGCTAAAAACAAAAGTAAAAAATTAAAATTCAAAGAAAAGAAACATAAATATTTAATAAATGAAAGTTTTTGTTTGTAAAAATTTTTAAACTTTTAATGTCATAAAATATAATATAAAGAACACCAAGTACAAATATGACAATTGACAAATATATAATATACACATAAATTAAAATGAGATACTTAATTCAACCGATCACAGAAAAATTCATTCAATTTGTAGTAGGCCTTTTCGAGCAAGAGTTTCTTAACTTGCTTTTTAAATATTTTTAATGAGTCAACACTTCTTATTTAAATTGGAAGGTGGTTAAATATCTTCTTCCCAGTATACACAATAGAGCCATATACCAAGCCGGAAGAGGGTATAGGCAAGGGAAGGTAAAATATTCTTCGACTATTGCTGGAGGTAATTATACATTTATATTTTTTAAAAACTAAAAGTAACGTTTCTAAAATAAACAGACATGTGAGTTTTAGTATATTGTGCCTAATAAATAATGGCTTAAAAGAGACACTAGCATCAACTTTGCACATATTTGTGTAAGACAAAGACTCTAGTAAACAACTCAGAAGAACATGTTCTCCAGAAACTTATAGCATATTGCATAATCTTCTTCTATTCATCGATTGGCTCATTAGTGACTAAATATCATATGATCAATATCTTATTTTATGTAAAATCTTTATGTATTATAAAAGCGTTTAACAGTGTTGAACCAAAACTGATTTCGGTTGCTAGTTTTATATACCATTTAGTTCCTCTTTTTAGACACGTAGGCTTTCATTTAATCTGACATATCAATGTAGGCTTTAAATTTAATATATTCAATGATGACTTGGAGTTTTTCTACTTAATTTCCCCGTTTCTTCTTGATCTTTTCCATTTGGTGAGTATGATATTGTGCTCAAGATAATGAGTTATCTGCAGTTAGCACGTGGTCCCAATATTTGAAATCAAGCGCTCGGACCACATGGCGTGTTATCCAGCTGTTGCACGTCCAAAAACAATATTTGGAATTAAAGAAAAAAATTGTAGATATTATGAAACAGTGTTTTATTAAGTTTCTAACTAGTATTTCAAATGAAAAGTTGCCAGTCCATGGGACCAGATTTGGCTTTACGACAGAGGTCGTTAAGGTGTTAAGTGATAAAAAAATATCTAACAAGAAACCTCAATGTTTAAATTCAGTTATAAACCCATTTTAGTAATTTTCAATTTTTATTTCAATTTGATTTAAATCTAATTCTCTGTATTTAATAATGTATCATATTATGTTTTATTAACATTTGGTTTTAATGTATTAATTTTTAAATATCTAGCCATGGTATTTTAAAGAATGATTAATTTTTTTAATTGCTACTTCTATATTTTTGTCTGTAACTGATATCAGAGTGTCATCAGCAGATCCCATATCTTAATATGTCATGACGTAAATAACAGGTGTGGGATCAGCACACCCTACGCATTTTCAAATACTTGCACTAAAATAATACATAAAATATAAAGTACTCTTATCTTATAAATTTGGCAGCTTATATTTATATATAATATAAAAAATACCAGGGATGTTCCCAATGGCGAAAAACTGCTAGACTAATTTTGTTTACAAAAATCGAATTGCAAACATTCATGGTGTCATCCATGTAGTTGTCAAATTATTATGATAGAGTATGGGAGAGTATTGTTACAAGAATTGTTTGCTAAACAAAAGACTCTAAAGTGCACAAAAAGGTTTTAAAATCACATTAGTGAAGTATATTTGCATTTTTAATGCCAGTTATTATCAGTTTAATATATTTTTTCTTGTTGCAACTATTATACTTGTATATTAGAGAGTTGAAGTGATGCTATGAACGTTAACGTATACGTAAAAATTGACATCTACGCATGCGCATTCAAATATCCTTCACGTTTACGTCTTCGTACATACGTAAGCTTGCTGATCTGGCATATACACGTAACGTAAATAAAATAACCTCGTTTTAATTGGAAAAGAAGAAATCCTAGTAATAATTGTCATTATCTGTCATGCCACGTAAATGTCACGATGCGTTTAACAACTTCAACTCTTATTTTGGACTATACCGTAACCATTATTTTTGTGTGTTGACGTTCACGTTTACGTTAACGTACTGGAAACACTTCAACTCTCTATTGTTTATCAGGAAAGTACGCAATTAATTTTGAAGTCTGACAGCAGTGTAAACCAGACGTAAATACGAATTAATTCATAAAACGAATGATTGATCCTCAGATAAACATACTTGCACACACCATCCCCACTCAAATTAGCAGCTGTCTCCTTATTTCTAATACGACAGCCAATGCGACACCTCTGTCTGAACGATTGCAATTAATAAGGGCTTAATTATAAATGAATGGATTAGTCTAGTAACTGATATCAGTTTTTTGTCGTTGGGTGTTCCAAAGTTTATGAAACTGTATTTTTATTATACAGTATACATCAACTCAAAGATAATATTCGTAGTGTCAAAATAATATTACAGTATAGCTGTTACCGCTTGTGAAAGAGCGTCAATCAACCCGTAATTATAAAGCACGGAATTATATTTTCGTGTTATATTTTACATTTGTATTTTTACCCAGAAGTACAGCTGGACTTCGATATGCGGCAATGAATTTTCAGTACATCGCTATTTTCTGCAATTGCAAGAAAAATTCTAACAGATGATTGAGAGGACGTAAGTTCGTTGACGTGTAATACTAATTGCCGCCATTTTATTTGCAGACAAGAAAAATTGTGAAGTGTAAAGTGGCTCTTATCCAACGTTCTACCAGAGACAATCCAGCGAGACGTGTAACTCAATGTATTTTTTTTGTTCGGTAAAAGTTATTTGGGCGATTGTAACCACAACCAGTCTATGATGGCGCCACTAGTAAATAGCGGGAAAATTAAAAATGCTTTAGGGCGGGAATTTCAAACATGGATTCAGAAATAAATAGTTTTTCTATACAAAACAGGAGAAACAAAAACTATTGTTTTACTGTATATTAAAAAATATAAAAGATTCCAATAACATCAAATTTTTTATCATATAAATACTTAATCATTTTAATAAAGGAAGTTTTAATCAGTTTAATATAAGCAGTGAAGAGTTTTTATTGCTCTTGTAAATTTCGCTAAAAAAAAAACCTGAAAATTCTATTGATTATTAAATATTTAAACTTGGAAAAATAATACACCAAACTCTTTTTCTATAAATTATATTTTTGTAAGGTATAGAAAAATAAACTACAATTGCTTCGTTTAGAAAGTACCTCATATCATTTTGTGACAAATTACAAAGAAAGTAACAGTTGTTATATATTCATAATATATTTAAAAACTAATGTAACAAATATTTTATAAAGTATAGAGTATATCGATGCCTTTTTGCCAGACTATCATAAGTGCCATTTGAACAAATGCCGCTTACGTTAGTCTGGCAAAAAGGTATCGATATGTTATGACTGTTTATTTTAATAGAAACCATGGAAACGAAAGTTTTCCTAGTCTCCTAATTTGGTTACTAGGTGGACCTTCTCCAACTAGTAGTCTAATCTATTCGATCTGCTCTGCAGCAGGAGGTACTTTTCAAACATAGCAAATAATATTAATAATAAACACTATTTAAAGATGAATACATTTTTGTAATTTTTTTGTCATTGCCCCTTACCTGTCTCTTACACCACCAGGGTATACCTATTTTCCATATTCCCTTAATTATAGATTACCTTACAATGTTTGAATGAATATAACATTTTACCCATGAAAAATCTAATTTCGTATTTAACTCTTTTTCAATTTCATTTGAAACAATTGGTATATTAAAATTTATTATCAAGCAAATCTTCTAATAAAGGTATAGCAAATTCTACTTAAACTACTGGTTGTTCTGCAGGATAAATTAACTTTTCTTGAGATTGATCTCTCTCTAAAATCCAAAACCGACCTGATGTCCCCAAATTTATTTTCCAATGCATCCTGATTTAAAATTCTTCCCTTTTGTGATTCAATTTTGTTTTT